GTAGTGTGGTATGGATGCAAGAATACACAGGTAAATCAGTGGAGCAGAACAGAGAGCCCAGAAACAGACCCTCGTGAATAAAGTCAACAGAGGAGCAAAAGCAATACAATGGAGAAAAAATAGTCTTCTCAACAAATTGTGCTGGAACAACTGGATATCTACATGTCAAAAATGTGTAAAAAATGTAAAAAAAAAAAATCTAGACAAGACCTTAACACCCTTCACAAAAATTAACTTGGAATAACTCACAGACCCTAAGTGTAAAATGCAAAACTGTAAAACTCCTGGAAGGTAACACAGGAGAAAATTTAGATGAGTTTCGGTTTGTTGATGACATCTTAGATCCTATAACATAGGTATGGTGAAAGCAAGAATCAATAAACTGTGCTTCATTAACATGAAACATTTCTTCTCTGCAAAACACTGTAAAGGGAATACAAAGACAAGCCACAGAATGGGAGAAAATATTTGCAGAAGATATATCTGATAAAAGGAGTTATCCAAAGTATTTGAAGAACTCCTTAATCTCAACAGTAAGAGATTAAAAGTGAGCCAAGGACCTTAGCAGATAACCTCACCAAAGAAGATCTACAGATGGCAAGTAGGCATATGAAAAGATGCTCCATATCTTATGTCATCAGAGAAATGCAAATTAAAATGAGATACCGCTACATACTTACTAGAGTAGCCAAAATCCAGAACGCTGGCAGCGCCACGTGCTGTCAAGGATGAGGAGCAACAGGAACTCTCATGCGCTGCTACTGGAAATTCACAGTGCTACAGCCACTTTGGTCGTTTTTTTTTTTTTTTAATCTTTTTTTGTAAAATTCAGCTAAACAACATATAATGATTGTTTCAGGGGTACGGGTCTGTGATTCATCAGTCTTACATAATACCTAGTACTCATTCTATCACATGCCTTTCCCAGTGCCCATCACCCAGTTACCCCATCCCCCTGGTCATTCTCTTAAAACTAAACATAGTCTTACCATAAGCCCAGCAATCCTTGCTCTTTTATCCAAAGGAGTTGAAAACTTGTGTCCCTGCAAAAACCTGCATACAGATGTTTATAGCAGCTTTATTGATAATTGACAAAAATTTGGAGGTAACCAAGACGTCCTTCTGTACGTGAAAGGATTAACTGTGGTACATCCAGTCAATGGAATAGTATTCGGTGCCAGAAAGAAATGAGCTATCCAGCTGTAAAAAGACACGGAGGAAGCTTAAATGCATAGTACTAAGTAAAAGAAACCAATTTGAAATGGCTGCAAACTGTATGATTCCAACTAAATGATCATCTGGAGAGGGCAAATCTTTGAAGACAGTGAAAAAAATTAGTACCAGGGATTTGGTGGGAAGAGAAGGATAATAGGCAGAGCACAGAGGATTTTTAGCTCAGTGGAGATAACTCTGCAGTCACCAGAATAGTGGATACATGTCAATATGCATTTATTGTAGACCACAGAATTTGCAATCTCAAGAGCGAACCCTAAGGTAAACTATGGCCTTTGGATGGGGGATAATGATATGTCAGTGTCGGCTTATCAGTTGTAATAAATGTACCACTGTGGTGAGAGATGTTAGTGGGGGAGGCTCTTTGGAGGGGAGCAGGGAGCATGTGAGGAATCTCTGTGCCTTCCTCTCAGTTTTACTGTGAATTTAAAAATGCTCTAAAAAAAGTATTAAAAAAAACTTAGGACGATAGATATGTGGACAGGTGAATATAAAGAAGGAAAGATAGAAAGATGGATTAAAAAACTGTGTAATGTGTACATCTCTGATCTACTGAGCTTTGATTGGTTAAACCCAAGAAAATATTCTTTTTTTAAAAAATATTTTATTTATTTGAGAGACAGAGGTCACAAGCCGCCAGAGAGGCAGGCAGAGAGAGGAGGAAGCAGGCCCCCCGCTGAGCAGAGAACCCTATGTGGACCTCTATCCCAGGACCCTGAGATTATGACCTGAGCCGAAGGCAGAGGCTTTAACCCACTGAGCCACGCAGGTGCCCCCCAGCAAAATATTCTAAGCTGCAGCCACACTTTCACATTACATTATTGTGAGGGTTAAAAGATAAAATCTTTTAAGAAGTCAATTTGACAATAGCTGTCAAATTTGAAATGGTCATACCCTCTCATCCAGCAATTCTAGAACTTCATTTCATTGAAATATTGTTGGAGATATAAAAAGATGAGATTATATTGAATGTAATATTTTTAAATAAGGAAAACTGGAAATGCAGGCATTTCTCAGTAGGGGACCATTACTGCACATTCTTTGCAGTCATTAAAAAGAGTGAAGTTGATAAACATGTATGTGGAATGTTATACATGATTTGTTAACAGAAAGAAAGCTCTGTTAAAAAGTATTAACATTTAAAAAAAAGTATTAACATTTTGAGTCAGAAAAAGACAAATACCATATATTTTATTCATATGTGGAATTGAAACAAAACAAATGAACAAAGGGGAAAAAAAGACAAAATAAGAAGCAGATTCTTCACTATAGAGAACATACTTTGATGGTTACCAGAAGGGAATGGGGGGATGGGGGAGATAGGTGATGGGGGTTAAAGAGGACATTTGTGATGAGCACTGGGTGATGTATGGAAGAGTTGAATCACTGTATTTTATACCTGAAACTAATATGGCACTGTATGTTACCTATACTAGAATTAATACTAGAAACTGAATTGAAAAAGTATTACTATTTTGTTTTATTGTGTATATTATTCCAATAATTCTTTGTATAATAGTTATCTCTGAGAAACAATATCACAAAGGACTTTTAAATGCCTCTCTTAACATTTCTTTAAAATAGCATATTGTTTCTTTGATCAAAAAAATAAGAATAAAAATGGCTGACAAAACTCTTCCAAATTTTCTCCATGATTACGTGTTTCTATTTTCATAGGAAAAGCAAATGAACAAAAAAATTAAGTGTACCAATGCAGTGAACTGGTAATTTTATTGTGTTTGTTAAATCTACTATGTTGATTCTAAATACAGATCTGCACCTAGTTGTTTCATTTTACACCCTGCCTTGTCCTGAAAGGAATTGAGTGACCTTTTGCCCACGCTAGAGAACCATTTCAGTGTATTCAAAGTAACATGAACTCTTTGAACTCAGCAAACTCTTGCCTAAATAACAAAGGTCTTTAATAAATTTATTCAGCGTGTATGTGAGGAAATTTGGGGCGCTCTAAAATGGGGGACTCAGGATCAAGCTACTCCTGCTTGGGACTGAGGGGGGCAGTGAGTCGAGGCTTAGATGAGTGCACAGCTTTTCTTACCCACACCATCAGTCACCCATGGGAGAACGACTTCACTACTTTTAAAAATCAGTCTGTTCTCTTCAACTATGAGTCTCTTCAGAAATGAGAAATGAGCATGGTGCTACTTCTTGAGGGAATACTGATAGGAATTTAAAAAGTGACAAGCTGAATAATGTTTTTACTGAGAGAATCATGGGGAAGAAAATCCCTAGCCAGGGTAGGGAAGTGAACACCCAGAGGAACTTTGTTACCTCCTATATTCTGTCACATCGCCTCATACTTCCCTTGGTGGCATCTATCACAGAAACAATAAAATAAGTATTTTCTTCTAAAAAGTTAAACTGTATCAACTCAGTAAATACCCAGAGAGCAGTTAAGAAGTTTACACTGCTGTCCTCCTACATACCTTTTTGAAGTCCTCAAGGAAAAATCCTGGAAGCCTCCAAATGTTTTGAAAAGCTCATGGTTCTGTTTCTAAGCTCAGATGAAGGCATCAATTTATTATCCTTCGCAGCTTTCCTTATGTTTGACAACTCACTATTTAAGAGTATACGGATATTTTGCATTTGAAAGAAGCTGAAGGACTCAAAACTGGCTGGGGCTTATAAACACTTGATTGGCTTCTACAGATGGGTCATTGTATGTGTAGATGCGTGGCTGAAGAATGCACACACGATCACGCACAAAGTCACACTCTCACGTTTTGTGTGGCCTCACGAAGACTATATACAATGTGTCATATAGAAACTATCTTTGAGTAAGTTTGACATCCACATTAATCTCATGAGATTGGTAGATGCCTTTTCACATTTCTGTTGGGTCAGTACTGATTTCTTACTATACCAAGACACTGCCATGTACCATAGGGATGAGTAAGGTGCAGGCTTGAGAAGCTTACTGTAAGGAGAAATAAGTCACATAATATTAGAAACAGACTCTTTAAAATACCTGATTTGAGGGGTGCCTGGGTGGCGCAGTGGGTTAAAGCCTCTGCCTTCGGCTCAGGTCATGATTCCAGGGTCCTGGGATCGAGTCCCGCATCGGGCTCTCTGCTCAGCAGGGAGCCTGCTTCCTCGTCTCTCTCTCTCTGCCTGCCTCTCTGCCTACTTGTGATCTCTGTCTGTCAAATAAATAAATAAAATCTTTTTTAAAAAATATTTTATTTATTTGACAGAGATCACAAGTAGGCAGAGAGGCAGGCAGAGAGAGAGACAAGGAAGCAGGCTCCCTGCTGAGCAGAAAGCCCACTATGGGGCTTGATCCCAGGACCCTGAGATCATGACCTGAGCTGAAGGCAGAGGCTTTAACCCACTGAGCCACCCAGGTGCCCCATAAATAAAATCTTTTAAAAAATAAAATAAAATACCTGATTTGCTTCTATAATAGAGAATTGCCATCGATTTGCTCACCGGCCAAGTTTGCAGCTGTAGCAAGTTGAATGAGGGTTATCTTCAAAATTGACCACTGTCAAGACAACTGAACTTGATCATTTTCTTCTTCACACATATACTCAAGAAAACAAAAACAAAAAACCAAGCTCAGTGTTACAAGATAAAAATTGTAATTGCGTTGAATCATAATCATAATCGTTACTTTTAAAGATGTACAAAAATGCTGAGTTGATTGGCCATAGTAATGTTAGATCTAATTCTGCGATGATGTTTTTTCAAAACCTAATTATTCACTTAAAGAATTTCTTTTTACTTGATATTTTTCTTTTCTTTTGCAGGAGTTTATTTTATCAGAAGATTATAACAAGATGACTCCTGTGAAAAACTATCAAGGTAGGAATGAGACAGCAGTGTTTTTACTTAGACTTTGAGATGTCTCTTGACAGCTTCACTTTACAGTAGTCAGGGGAAACAAAACAGAGCAGCCCTTTCAGGTGAATTTTATCCGAGTCTTTGAGTTAAGAAACTGAGGCCTAACGAGGTTGGATGACTTGCCTAAGGTCCTGTAGCTGGTAACATGCAGAACTGGACTGGGTTGTTGTGACCCCAGAAGCTCTGACCCTTGTCCTTTGTCTCTCTGCTACACTACATGGCCTCAAAGCAGTGTAGCAGCTGCAGAGAGTAGGGTCAGTGTTAGAAGTGAGCTATTTTACATGGGGCTCGTTTCATTTTTGGTTAAATATGTTTAAAGGCCTAGAATATCCATGTTGTCTAAGGGAAAGGAATTTAGTGTGTCTTCAACATTGGCAGTGTGCCATACATGGATCAGGAGCCATTTTCTGTAATGATTTATTTATCTAGACCAATGATGTTATAGGATCAGAACATTAGAAGTGAATCTTTTAAGACTTAGAGGTTATTTCATCCATAATTTCTTGATCCATCCATCCTGTATGATCATCCACACTCTTTTCCGATACCTCCAAAGACATACCTAGCAAACCATCCCGATTTTTATAAAATTCAAATATTAAGTACTTTATTTCTAGATTTTGAGCCAAAATTCATTTCCCTGTGGATTTATTCTTTGTTTTCACATACTACTTACCAAGTATTCCTTGAGTACCTACTGAGTTTCAGTAACTGAGGATCATAATAGTAAACAAGACATGTGTAGTACCTGCCTATAAGCAGTTTCTAATTATGTAGAGGTTACAGACAGGTAGCCAGGTCATTAAAATGTTATGTTATGAATACTAGAAAGTTCCTCTGTTGGTTTTTGTTCAGCCTATTGGAGCCACAGAAACTAAGTTGAATCTCTGTTATACATGACAGCTTTTCAGTGATTTTAAAATAGCCATGAAAATTCCCACCCTGGTCTCTTCTTTCCTTCTTGTATCTCAAACATTTTACATTCTCCTTTACATGACCTGAATTTTTTTCTTTAAAAAAATTTGTTTTTTAGTTGTCTTGGTCACAGATCTTGGGATATCATGTTGTACCTCTGGAGCCGTTTAAAAATGGGACACATTGTGGTAGGCAGCCTCTGAGATGGCTCCTGATGATCCTTGTCTTCTGTTATTCATGCCCTTGAGTGTAAACCCCCCTTGAGTGTAGACTGTACCTAACATATGGCAAATGGTGGATATCACTTCTAAGATTAGGTTACAAAGAGATTAGTCCTTCTTGCTTGCCCTCTCCTGCTCTTTCTGGTTCTCATGGAAGCCAGCTGCCATCTTGTGAGCTACTTTATGGAGAGGCCTATGTGGTGAGGAACTGAGGGAAGCCACTTCAGTGGCTGTTAAGGAACTGAAGCCCTCAGATAGTTCAGTAACCTCTGAGGAGCTGAGTCTAGTCAACATGAGAGAGCATGGAGTTCCGCAGGTCCTTCCTCTGTCAGTCTTACAGATGAGACCATAGTCCCACCACATACCTCGATTTTATCCTGTGAGACACCTTTCAGTAGAGGCACCAAGCTAAGCTATACCAAGATTTCTGATCCACAGAAGTTCTGAGATAATAAATGTTTACTGTGTTACGCTATTAAGTTTGGGCATAATTTGTTATACAGTAGATAACCAATATACATATGTAATATGATAACTACAGAATTGTATTTCCTTCCTCTTCTGGTCACTGTTCCATAAAGGGTGAACTTCTGACAGGCCACTTTATACTGTAGGCTCATGTGGAGCAGTGAGCTCAAACCCCTTAATGATTCTCACTTGAGTTGTTATTAAACTATGTCTCCTGTAATTTTGAAGCTGTTGCTTTTCTTGGTATGGGGGTGGAGAGGGAGGTTTATTTTGTTTTTAGCCTAAATGCTGGACTACAGTTTATTCATCATCTCATTTTATTAAGTCCATCATCTCAGCTTATCAAGACATTTTGAAATCCCAGTAGTCATTATATATATATATATATTTATATATATATATATATTTTTTTTTAATGCAATGCTAAGCCCATGAGAGAAACAGGAGGGTGAGTCCCATGTACCAGAAGCAAAGACAGAATTAAAACTCAAAGTGATATGCATACTACCTGACATTGTAGCTATCTTGGGGAGAAAAATAGAACTTCTGATAGGTAAAAGCTTTTGTATGAACATTCACTTAGGGACAAAAGATGAAACCTAGGACTTGAGTGAGATAGGAAGTTGCAACTCTTATTTTCATACAAAGATGAAATGCATAAAGGACTATAGCCCATGAGAAAGAGAGGATCCATACTCTCCACTTATTGGCCCAGAAGACCATAGCATAATTTATTCCTGATCTCAAATCTAGATCGAGGGGAAGAATCTTCCAGGTAAATGAAAATTACAACCTAAAATTTTGAATTTGGAATACAAATTTAAATCATTCATGTGGTGCTAGAAGCTCCAGCTTAAGAATTTAACATATGAATTGGTCCTGGGCCAGTGGTATCCTCCTGGTACCTGCTAGAAATAAATTCAGAAGCTCTCTTCAACAAGACAAGTCACACAAAGATCTCACAGCAAAAACAAGCCCTGCTTAAGATGAATTCATAATAATAAAAATAAAATTACAAAAGTTAAAAGGAATCCATCCACTATGAGTGGATTGATATTAACAGATATCAAAAATGGAGGTGAAATAAAATTTTTTTCAGGCATAAAAAACAGAGAATTCATAGACCTGCACTTAAGGAAATGTTAAAGGAAGTCCTTCAGGAAGGAAGTAAATGATGCCAAAGGAAGATAGGGATCTACACAAAAGGATGAAGAACAGCAGGCATGGTTACTATAAGATTTTTCCTTATTATTTAAATCTTATAAAAAGACAATTTGCTTCTTAACTAAAAGTAATAAAGTAGCATGAGGGTTATAACATGTAAAATTAAAATGTTTGACATCAGTAACACAAAAGCCAAGAAGTGGGGAGAAATGGAAATGTATGCTGTTGTAAGATTCTTTTTTTTTTTTTAAAGATTTTATTTATTTATTTGACAGACAGAGATCACAAGTAGGCAGAGCAGAAGGCAGAGAGAGAGAGGGGGAAGCGGGCTCCCCGCTGAGCAGAGAGCCCTATGTGGGGCTCGATCCCAGGACCCTGGGATCATGACCTGAGCCGAAGGCAGAGGCTTAACCCACTGAGCCACCCAGGCGCCCCATATTGTAAGATTCTTATGCTGCACATGAAGTGGAGTAGAATCACTTGAAGGAAGACTATGGTAAGTTAAAGATGTATACTTCAGGCCCTAAAGCAACCATAAAAGAACAAATCCAAAAGTGACAACTAATTTGCCAGCCAAGGAGATAAAATGGAATCATTAAAATCATTCTCACTGAACTCCTCTTCCCCTGCCAAAAAAAAAAAAAAGAAAAAGGGGAAAAAAGAAAACATATAGCAAAGGGATAGATTTAAACCTACCAGTTATCAATTAATCATATTAAATGTATGTGGTCTGAGGCCAATTAAAAGGCAGAGGCCATCAGCTTGAATGAAAAAAGGAGACCCAAATATAAACCACCTACAAGAAATGGACTGTAAATATAAAGACATAAAGCAGTTACAAATAAAAGGATAACAAAAGATAAATAGTACAAACAGTAGTCAAAAGAGGCTGGAGTGGCTAGGTTAATAATAGTTAGACTTGGGACGCCTGGGTGGCTCAGTTGGTTGAACGGCTGTCTTCGGCTCAGGTCATGATCCCAGCGTCCTGGGATCGAGTCCCACATCGGGCTCCTTGCTCGGCAGGGAGCCTGCTTCTCCCTCTGCCTCTGTCTGCCTGTGCTCGCTTGCTCTCTCTCCCTCTGTCTCTGACAAATAAATAAATAAAATCTTAAAAAAAAAAAAATAATAGTTAGACTTAAGAGAAAAGAATATTACCAGGGATAAAGGATTATATTACCAGAGATTATTTCATAATGATTAAGGATCAATCCATCAGGAGGGCATAATGATCCCAAATGTTTATACTCTTAATAAACATAGCTTTGAAATATATGAAGCAAAACCTGATGAAACTTCAGGAGAAGAAATAGGCACATCCTCAATTTTAGTCAGAAATTTTAGAACTCCTCTCAATAATTGACTGAATGTATCAGTAATGGACAGAATAAGTAGGCAGAAAATCAGTAAGGTATAAAAGGCTTGAACATAGTACACAGCCAACTTGCTGTAATTGGCATCTGTAGAACATTCCATTAAACTAAAGCAGAAGACACATTCTTTTCAACTTCACACAGAACATTTATCAAGGTAGATCATATTCTGAGCCATAAAACGAGTCTCAGTAAATTTGGAAGAATTCAAAGGTGTGTTCTCTGATCAAAACGATACTGAACCAGGAGTCAATTAACAGAAATATCTCCCGAAAAGCCCCAAATATTAAGAAGCTAAATAACCATGAACCATCTAAGTAATCCATGGGTCAAAGAAGAAATCAAAGTGGAAACAGCATATCAAAATTTGTGGTATGCTACTAAAGCAGTACTTAATTAAACACCTATGTTAGAAGAAAGAAAGGTCTCAAATCAGTGACCTTAGTTTCTACATCAAGAAACCACAAAGGGGGGCATCCAGGTAGCTCAGTCAGTTGGGCATCTGCCTTCAGCTCAGGTCGTGATCCTGGGGTCCTGGGATCGAGCCCCATGTCAGGCTCCCCACTCAGTGGGGAGTCTGCTTCTCCCTCTGCCTCTCCCCCTGCTTGTGCTCTTTCTGTCCCTCTCAAATAAATAAATAAAATCTTAAGCAGAAGAGAAGAAAGATCATAGCAGAAGTTCATGAAATAGAAAAAGAAAGAAGTATCAATGACAGCAAAAACTGTTGTTTGTTTTGAGAGGATGAATAAAAGCAGTAAACCTCTAGCCAGACTTAAACCAGAAAAAAAAGAGAGAAGATTGAGGCCACCAGAATCAGGAATAAGGGAAGTGACACTATTAGAGATTGTAGTGATATTTAAGGATAATAAGGAATATTATGAACAACTTTATGCCAATAAATCTGACAACCTAAGTGAAATGAACAAATCTTTGAAAGGTAAAAATTGTGAAAGGTCAGGAAGAAATAGATAACCCTAATAACCCTATATCTACTAAAGAAATTGACTTTATAAATAAACCTTCCCACAAAGAAAACCCCAGGCCCAAATGGCTTTACTAGTGAATTTTATCAAACATTTAAGGAAGAAACAATACAAACTCTGCACAAACTCCAGAAAAAGACTTTCCAGCTGATTTTTGAAGTGGTGGTATCTGACATGATAACTAGACAAAGACAGTACAAGAAAAGAAATATACAGGCCAGCATTCGCAATGAAAACAGATGCAAAAAATCCCAACAGAATTTTAGCAAATCAAATTCAGCAGCGTATACAAAGGATAGTACATCATGACCAAGCAAGGATTATTTCAAGTTTATACCCAAAAGAAATGGAAGGAGGGATTGCATGCCATTGTGCCTATATTCACAATAGGCAAGAAGTGGAAACAACCTAAACGTCCATGAATGGATGAATGGTTAAATAAAATGTGGTATACCAATAAAATGAATTATGTTTTGGACACAAAAAAGGAATGAAATATTGATACATGCTACAACTTGGATGAACCTTGAAAACACACTAAGTCAGTGAAAGAAACTAGACACAAAGGACCACACTTTATATGAATACATTTATATGAAATGTCAGGAATGGGGGAGGAGCATCTTTGTGGCTCAGTTGGTTTAGTATCTGACTTTGGGTCAGGTCATGATCTCTGGGTCCTGGAATCAAGTCCCATAGTGGGCTCCCCATTCAGTGGGGAGTCTGTTTGTTCCTCTCCTTTTGTGCCTCCCCCACTTGAGTGCTATTCCCCCCCCCAAATAAATAGTCTTTAAAAAAAAAAAAAAGAAGAAGAATAGAGGAATCCATTGAGATAGAAAGTAATTAGTGGTTGCCCAGGGACAGGGAAGGAGGAATTGGGGATGTGGGTTTGTTTTGGGGTCATGGAAATGTTCTATAAATAGAACATTTTTCCATGATGATTGTACAACTTTGTGAATATAATAAAAGCCACTAAATGATACACTCTACAATTATTTAAATGATGAATTTTACCTCAATAAACATTTTTTTTATAAAACAGTGATACCAAAACCAAAGACACTATTAAGAAAACTACAGACCAGTAACTCTCATGAACTTAGATGTTAGAATCCTTTCAAAAAATTCTAGCAAATCCAAGAATATACAGAAGAAATTACACACCCATGCCCGAGGGGATTTATTCCAGATATGCAAAGCTGGTTTAACATTTGAAAATCAGTGTAATCCATCACATCAAGAGGCTAAAGAAGTAAAATGGTATGATCATATCAGTTGGTGCAGAAAAAGCATCTGATAAACTCTGCCACCTATTCATGATAAGAACACAGAGCCAACTACAAATCAAGGCGAACTTCCTCACCTCCATTAAGAAATATCTACAAAAATCTGCAGCTGACATTGTACTTAATTGTGAGAAATGTTATACTTTCCCACTATGATCACAAACAAGACAAGGATGTCCTCTCTCAGCCTTCCTAGTCAAGAAGTATGGCCAGACTTCAAGCCCACGTTTCTGCAGCTTAGTAATATGTATGCACCTTTAAAGGGTTTCTTCTTGAATTAAAGAATTCTGTCACCTTAGAAAGAGTATGTGCTCTGAGTTTGGGGGCATGTTTTGTTGTTTGTTTTTTCAGTAGTCCTAGCCAGCCTGACAGAAAGAGAAGCTAGGGTTTTAGTTCTAGTTTGATCATTCATTGTGCCGATTTGAGCAAGTCACTCAACCTTTGAGAGCCTCTGTCTACTCCCCTCATATCAGGGCAGCTCAGAGTGCTTAACCCCTCCCTTCTGTTTTGGGCTGCCGTCCTCCCCCTTGGACTTAGAAAGTGATGGCACATAGGGACAAAATGCTGGGGGCTACCATCTCGCTGAAATAGACTCGAGAAACTTGAAGCAATAGAGAAGTTCATTTGATTCCATCATTGGTGGAGATCGAATTGGACATTTGATGACCAGATCTTCAGGAGTTTCTGAGAAGTCATATCTTTTATGTTAAAGACAACAAACATTTTGATCTCGAATGGTGATTGATACTCAGGCAGGTGTTTACTGTAGAGAAGTCATGGTGTTACTGCTTCTATACCCCTTCTTTGTTGTGTCCCTTTAGAGTCTCGATGCTTCAAATATCAGATTTTATTGTATTTTTTTAGGATTTTATTGATTTATTTGATAGAGAGAGATCACAAGTAGGCAGAGAGGCAGGCAGAGAGAGAGGAAGAGAAGCAGGCTCCCTGCTGAGCAGAGAGCCTGAGGCAGGGCTCGAACCCAGGACCCTGGGATCATGACCTGAGTTGAAGTCAGAGGCCCACTGAGCCACTCAGGTGCCCCCAAATACCAGATTTTAAAATATCAGGCATTTGGTGGAATGGTTGTCCTGTAGGTGCTCTTTGGTTTGGTAGCCAGTATAAAAGGGCCCTCCTGCCAAGGCCAGGTTGTGTCTGTAAGATGAAGAAACCACCCACTTTTGCAGGGTCATTATAGTGACTAAGTGAAAGAATATATTTAAGTTCTTGGCACTTGTTAGACACTCAGAAATTGGCAGGTGATACTGTTATTGTCAGTAGAGTTGCATTGGTCCATCCCTACTAACTCTATTTTCACGATCAAAATGGGAAAGTGATGTTTTCTCTGTCACATCACCACGCTCATGACGGGTCTGCTCTTGCCCACCAGACTGCCAGCTCCTGGGCACAGGGCCAGTGAGGTCCCGATTCAGGTTACTGATCTTTGTCTATCCCAGTCAGCTCTGTTCAGCAGCCATGGAGACCCTCTCCCTTACCCTCTGGAACTGTGTAAGAAAAAAGCAAATTTTTACGGATTTTTATTCGATAATTGAGAAGCCATGAGATCTTGGCCAAACTACTCAACTTCATTGTGCCCGAGTTTACCCATATGTAAAATAGGGAGATGGAGTAGATGACATGAGCAATTTCTTCTAACTGTGAAATTGTGTGATATGGTAATTCTGTGATGGTGTTGCCTGTGTGTGAGCAACCCTGGGAGATTTGCCCTCCTTATCACATGTGTGTATACTTTGATATAAGGGTGATTTCCTTCTCTTTTACATGTCACTTGGGAGTAATTCTGCCCTCCTTCCCAGCATTTGATTTCTTACAGAAAATTCATCTAGAACTTTGTTGTTGTGGGTTTAGTAAGCCACACTTCACCAAAAGGAGAACAGTAACGCTCTGTACTTTTTTTAAGCTTGCATAAACTCACCCAGGTGACTTTCTTATAAGACATCATGTGTTCTGTTGTTCTGTGATCACACTGAGACTGACACTCTCCAGTCCAGCAGCTCCATCATGTCTGAGAGAGGCGGCCCAGGCCCTTTGGTAATGGGGACTTCTGGAGGGTGGTGAACTTGGGGTTGGCACAGGCGGGAAAGAAAGAGAGGGATGGAAGGAAATGGATATATATATATTTTTTTTTTTTTTAAACAACTCAGGCATGCCTGTCTAGAGTGGTATACCTCTCCCCCTAGTGAGAACCACTGTTCCGGGCTATGTTTCTAATGGCTGTCCATACTCTCCAGCTTTCTCTGGGATGGGGAGAAGACAGTGTCACGTCTCTGTAGACCATGCTTTATCAATCTCCTTTATGATGCTTTATGGGTTATTTTCTTGTCTCTTGGCTTTTAGCACATCAGAGCAGAGTGACGATGATCCTGTTTGTCCTGGAGCTGGAGTGGGTGCTGAGCACGGGGCAGGACAAGCAGTTTGCCTGGCACTGCTCGGAGAGTGGGCAACGCCTGGGAGGTTACCGTACCAGTGCCGTGGCCTCGGGCCTGCAGTATCCTTTGCTGAACAAAAATCCCTTGGTGGGAACTTAGCTGTTGTCTCCTTTCTTTCATGAAAAGTTTGGGTATGTGCAACTTGAAAGTTTGTTATTTGCTGAGTTGCCCTGCTGATTAAGATTCTCATTGACTTGACTGGTAACACAAATCATGGAGGGTCCTCACGGAGGTGGGTGAAAGTGAGGTGATTTCCCCCCAAATAACAGATCCTGCTGAGCAGCTTGTAAGGTGACTGTGACACAAGTCTGACATCCAGACAGGACAGAGTCCAGATTTCTGAACGTCAGCTGTCAGAAGGAATTCTGGAACAGGGAGATAAAACCATCAATGAAAGACAGCCTTTACCTACAGAAGTAATTTGCATACAGATATTAAGGTTGTGAAGAACCACCAGAATCCTATTTATTTTAAAATATTTATGGAGAAGCTACAGGGCCACAACCACTAGTAGGTTAACTGGTATTTACACAGTAATAGTACAGACTTTGTTCCAGGTATAAGGCCCTTCCAGGATGTGTAGAATGATACTAATTCTTATCCCCCAAGTCTCGAGACCTATACGCCCGGTGTGAATATCGCTCATGCTGGGTAATCCTCAATTCTGGCCCACTAGACTGCAGCATACATGGTCTTGACTGGTGTGAAACCCGGGGCGTGATGCTGTGTAAGGAACAGCAGGCCCTGGGCTTCTTGGTTTAAAAAGCGGAGAATCACTCTCCACCTTGTGATGAATGAGGGAATACATGGAAACAGATCACTTGTCAGCAAAAGCAGGAAGAAATAGTAAGACTTGCTTTCAGATGTTCATCTCATATTTATAAAATGCCTATTCAGTGATTCTCAACAAATCTGACAAAGTACTTTGCTGTCTCCTTGCAGACGGGCGACAGTAGCTGTATTTGTGTGTGTGTGTGTGTGTGTGTGTGAATGTTAGCTCATGGCACTCCTCTTTTTCTTTCTTGTTTTCCTCACTTGGAAGAGCAAGATGATGAAACTAAGGATGGCCATCGTGGAAGGTTCTAAAAATGGCAAGTTGCCAAGCAGGCCAGAAATGAGAGTGATAAGGAGCGGCAAGCAGGATCAACTTATCTTTGAGAGGGTGATACCCGCTGTTAAGAAACCTGAGTTTACTTTCTAAAAGCCAGTTGACATAAGTCTAATGCCTGAAATATATGAACTCTCTTGTCGTAGTTGACTGATTTCTTACAGTATTAGAATTGGAAAGGCCCTTAGTGGTCATCTGGGTCAACTCCTCGTTTTACAGATGAGTCAGCTGAAGCGCAGAAAGGGTCTCCTGCCTTATCTGCAGCCACCCTGCTAGTATGTCAGAAAGTCACCAGAACCCATGTCTTCTGCCTTGGCACTGCTGTTTTCTCCCATCATACCGTGTTACCTTTTTGAGACCAGAATGGCGTCAATATGTTCGTACTATGCTGGCTTCTACATCACTAGCTACACCTAAAAGATACATCTTCTTTATTACTTAGCCAAGCCAAGGAATATAGAAAAAAGGCAGATCTCACCCTTAAGAAGTTTACTTTTTAAGCTATCTGAAAATGAGAAACAACACGAATGCCCAGAATCAAAAGTCTCCTGACTGTGGTGGTCCCTGACCCTTCTCTTTAGGCATCTTCTAAAGTCACCTTCATTTTTCAACTGTTTCCTTTGACCACACCATGTGGTTTACCAAGCTGAAAAAATCATGTGATCCGGTATCAGAAGCGTGTGTGTGTGTGTGTGTGTGTGTGTGTGTGTGTGTGTGTAAAAGCCTCTGGGTTCATTTAGCAGTGTAACCATCTAGTTCAGCCTTGGTGTTAATGGGGAGGGGAGCTTCAGGCTCTTCCAGAAGATTCCCTCACCTTCCACATTTTGCTTCTTCAGCTCCGAGTTTGGAGCCACAGTGCCTGCCCTTACTCCTGATTTAAGAATGGCCTTACAGCCTTCTATCTCTGATAAGTTTCCGATGCTCTGTGGACACTGCATAACTTCATGTTACTTTTTCAGAGGGTGTCGTATGGGAAACATGCGACTTTCCCAGGGCTGGAGGGTTTTTTCTGGAAGGTGCCCAGTGCACAGATTGTTAACAGTGTAAATATACTCATATAGTGTTGGGGTTCACACTAAAATCCAACTTTTAAACACATTTTTTCATGGGAATCCTCCACCCCACCTCTTTCCTCTTCTTTCTGCCACTTGTCATACTTACAGGTTTCTTAAGGAAGAAGTTCTGCTGAAACTACATAAAATATTAAGAATAATATCAGTACCCTAATGTCTCTTCCTAGTGGACAGTGGTGGTGTTACATAAAAACTTCCACAGATGAACCACCTTTTTCCCATCTCCATCTCAAATGGTCATTCATCCACATCAACAACAGAGAAAAATCAGGTTGAGTTAGCCTTTTTTTTTTCTTTGTTCCGGCCTCACAGGGGAGGGGAAGAAGTACGTGTGCAGTGGAAATAACCAAAATTCAAGTAGAGAAATAAAGGAAGACAAAGAGACTGATCTTTCAAAAATTGAATTACCAGATTCTGAATAACCTCAAAATCTTTGGTTGCTTTGGCTAAAGGTCTGAAGCTTCAGGCATTAAGAGAGCTAGAACACTAACAACAGTAATTGAAAGGAAGAGAGGAGAGCAAGGAGCAGAGGAAAAAGAGAAATGTCTTAATTTGCAGTTCCCGAAAGTTTTATTTAGTGCTTCTACATAATGTTACTTTGCTCACTCTCAGAACAATAATTAGAAGTAAAAACCAAAAGACCAAATTCCCAATTTTCACAGTGTAGAAACCAAGGCTCAGAAAGGTTAAGGGACTGTCAGGACTCCTACCTGGCAGAACCAGGATTAGAACTCGGGTATTAACAATCTTTCCACTAGCCCTTTGAACACCGAAATACAGCAGAGTGGAGGTATTTCCCAAAGGTCACCTGGCAGATTGATGTTAGGAAATTGAACTGTTTTCCTTCGTCACTTTACTTCCTAGTATTTAAATTTGTGCACACTTAAGCTTCAGCTTTTAGTCTTGTCATTTGACTGTGTTTCAATCCCATTTTTCATGCTTCTGCAGAAATAATTAAGGTACTCTCCGTTTCAAGATTTTATTCATGTTGTAGGTATTTCCAGGATGTCACCCTATATAGGACAAGGTCTTTTCACCAGGAAGTCTCTTAGATCTATTCATATTCAGGGCAAGAGCACTGGAAAGCTATAAGATTATCTTGATTTTTATATTAATGACGGTCATGCTGGCTTTGAGGTTATACTGTAATTTTATTATTTCAGTTCTCTTTCTAATAGCTTTTGCTGCATTTATATTTTTTTACGAGACTGCTACTATTTACCTGCCATCATAAAGACTGTTGGGTATCAGAGTGCGTTTGTTTCTTCATCTGTGTCGTTATAATTAATCTAGGTAAATGTAAGGTGATCTTAGTCCACATCAATCTTAATATCGTTTTACATATATCTCCCTTGTTCTTGAGACTGGGAGAATTTGTGGTGCCTTGTTCTTCACTTATGAAAATTTTCAAAACATGCACCATCTGGGAGAAGAGGCTGTAATGGACACTCACATACTCATCAGATCCAGGATTGATTCTTCAATCTTTTTGGCTTTCTCTCTCTCCTTGCTGGAGTATTCAGAAACAAATTTCAGACCTAATGTCATTTCATCCTTACCACCTTCATTGTGCGCCACTGAAAAACACAGAATTTTAGTAATCACGATGCTATTATGACTCCTAAAAATTTATAACCATTACTTGATACTATAGAATAATTGATCCATTTTCACATCTCACTGGCTTTTTCCAGTGAGTTGATTTGAAATCGGGTCCAGACATAGTTCGCAAATTGACTATGGTTGTCCTATTCTAAATCTCTCAATCTAGAGCAGTGATCTCCTCCTTCCCCTCCCCTTTTTTTTTAAAAAGATTTTTATTTATGTATTTGACAGAGGTCACAAGTAGGCAGAGAGGCAGGCAGAGAGAGAGGAGGAATCAGGCTCCCTGCTGAGCAGAGAGCCCAATGCAGAGCTCTATATCAGGACCCTGGGATCATGACGTGAGCCAAAGGCAGACGCTTTAACCCACTGAGCCACCCAGGCACCCCTCCCTTTTTTTTAAAATCCTCCTATAACTTGTTGAGATACAGAGTCCATGTTCCTGGAGGCAGCCCCACGTTCTGAAGTGATCTGTGCTTCCTCATGTTGTCATTTCATCACTTCTACCTATACTTCTCCCATGTTTTTTTTTGTAAGCTGGGGGTTACCTCTACAGTCTTGGTTCAGTTCAGATCCAGCTTGTGGTTGTGCTGTCTGGTTCCTAGTGCTCGCAGCAGGAGGCACCTAGTGGTGGGTTGTCACCCCTTCCCATCAAGGCCCAAATTGGTCAGTTTTTCAGGTGGTGACCCCTGGGTCGCTGTGGCACTGACCCGCTCATCAGCCTTGCCTTTATTGGTCTCTCCTGAACCAGTTCTTTTGTTAGGGTCACAAAAATGGTGATTGTGTAATCGGATAATTTACTCCACATGTGTTATTTGGAATTCTTTATAAAGTAGAACTTTCCCTCATTTAACTAGGGCTATTTGAGATACATTTAGTATGGGAAAATCAACATAAATTCTTAATTATCTTTAATTGCTCATTTTCAGAGTAGCGATTCAGTGCCCTGGTTACCTCCAGTAGGTGTCTTTTTTTTTTTCTTTTTGAGCATTATTATAAACTCCTTTAAGGTTTTTTTTTTTTTTAATAATATATCCAGTAGGTTTCAGTAATTTGCCTTTTTTGATGGTAGTATTGTCCCATTGTTGGCCAGTAAGCTTCCATCCTACTGGCTCCAGTGTCTTTTGCTATTATCTCAATTAATTTTTTTTAAAGATTTTATTTATTTATTTGACAGAGATCACAAGTAGGCAGAGAGGGAAGCGAGAGGAGGATGGGGGGGAGAAGCAGGACCCTCGCTGAGGAGAGAGCCCAATGTGGGGCTCCATTCCAGGACCCTGGAATCATGACCTGAGCCGGAGGCAGAGGCTTTAACCCACTGAGCCACCCAGGTGTCCCCTCACTTGCTTTTGATAGAGAGCCTTTGACACAATGTGTCTTAACCTTATCTTGTACTTTCCTGTCCCTGTCCTGAATTAGCCATTTCTTTTAGTGAGGAGTAGTATCAGAGATAGCTAGGGAATATATGTGTGTATATTTCTGAAAAGAAAATAAATATTTCATATAATAAATTCAGATTTAACATTATAGGGTTTCTACTTCATTTTTGTACTTGATTCTTTTACCTTGAGCTGAAAATTGTGTCTTCTAAAACATTAGCATATCTGCTTTATCCTGTGGTACATTTAAGCTGTTTCAAAATAATAATAGCAGTATTATAGCAACAAGACTACGGAATGAGATTTTAGATTTCCTTGCAGTTCTCCTTGTCCTTAGAATACATTCTCCCAAGGATGTACAGTTGAAACACTGTTTTAGAGTCACTTGAATAATTCTGTTAACTGTGGTTATATCACCAACTTGATAGGTTCATTGATTTTACTTTATTGTCAATTTAGGGGATTTTTTTCTTTTAAATTCATACATATTTTTAATATGTAAAATAATGACATGATTCCGGAATGGAAACTATGACAAGAGAAGTCTCATTATCATCCCTGTCCCTTCAGCTCGTTTCTCCCTTCTCCGTAGGCAGCCACTTGTGTGAGAACTTGATTTATCATTCCAGAGCTTCCTTTTGTAAAATGAGTCTACCCCCCCCACCATCCTCCCTGCAAGACACACACACACACACACACTTCTCTAGCCCTCTCTGTCTTAGGCAAAGATAGTGTAGCTTAAATACCTTGGCTTGTTTTCCCCACTTTATAATATACCCTGGAAATTTCTCCATGTCCATTTGCTTATGATATGGAGCTCCTTTCCCCCCCCAATATTGCATGGGTATATCCTAGTTAATTCAGTAAGTGCCCTTTTGTTGGAATTTTTTTGTTGCCTTCAAACTTTAGCTATTTAAAATAGTGTGGCCCGAATAGCCTCCAGTATGCATTTTGTACTTTGGCCAGTGTATCTGTGGGATAGATCTCTAGATGTGGCATTACTGGGTGTTATCAACCCCACAAGCTCAGCTAGAGACTCAGTGCCTTAGGTTTGTACTGGAGACCAGTCACGTAGGCAGCCTCTCTCTGACAGGTACCAAAATTCTGGACTAAGTAGAAAAGCAGGTATTTGGCATAAACCATATTCTGTGTACAGTTAAGGCACAGGGAGCCACTCTTGTCTGCTAAAGGTGGAACCCTCCAGAAATCCAAGTTGTGAGACACCAACCCAGCCTTGTAAGCAGTCTTTCGAAGGCTAGTATTCAGGTCTGGTTTGACTCACACATTTTCATTTTCACACACCGTTTTCATTTTCATCTTCATTTCTTCTTGAACTTTGTGTTCATACATTTTACCCATTTCTCTCAGGTTTGTGGTTGCTTTCTTCTTGATTTTTCTTTTTGTGTTAGGGATTTGGCCCTTTGTAACATAAGTTACAAATATTTTTTCCAGTTTGTCTTTTGGCTTTGCTGCTGCTATCTGTTGTTGATGTTTCTAGACTTGGCCATTTTGTTCCAGGGGTCTGTTTGTCTGTTTATGCACTGATACCACATTTCTAATTACAGAGATTTTATAACATGTTCTATTATCTGGTAAGGCTAACTTCCCCTATCACATACCACATTGCTCTTATTTTCGGAGTATTCCTGGCTCTTCTTGTTTATTTATTTTTTATATGAACTTAAACATCCCCAGCTCTGAGAGAAAAAAAAAGCTCTGTTATTTTTATAGGGATTATGTTAAATTTGTAAATTAATGTTGTAAGGAATGACATTACCGTGTGATGTCTTACTGTCCCATAATGCTGCATCTTTTACTTCGTTGTGTCTGCTTTTGTATCTTTTAGTGTTAACATCCAAGCTTTCTTCATATAGGATTTACACGTTTCTTGGGTTTATGTGTGTATCTATGTATGTATGTATGTACGTACTTAAATCCCTCCACTCAATTTTGAGAAACGATCCTTAATGTTTCCATGATAGATTTGATGTTGAAACCCGGCATGTGTTTATTGGTGACCAATCAGGCCAAGTAACCATCCTCAAACTGGAGCAAGACAACTGCACCCTGGTCACAACATTCAGAGGACACACAGGTGGGACTGACTGCAAGCCGTATCTCCACGTGCTGCGCTCACGGTGACATATCACCGGCCGTGTGTTCTGGCGTTCGGCTGCCGTGTTGTGAAAGTGACAGAGTACAGTGTGCTCAGATAGGAATGATACATTTAACTGATTTCAGAATGGTTCAGTAAGATACAGTGTCAGAAATTTTCCACAGTTTTCAGTGCACACAAAAAAAGGAGCCAGTCTGTTTCAGAACTGTTGGTGATTTGGTTCTGTGTCCTGTCGCACTGGAGAAAGCTAGTGTTGGCGTATGTTGATGAGACATTGTTTAAGGCCATGTGGCAACTGCACCAACCCCGGAAGACTGAAAAGACAGCTGCCTCAGTTTGTCCTTTCCATCCTTGGAGCGAGAAGATGGTGTGCAAGACAGACTCCCCCACTTCTAAGACAAGTGAAATAAAAAAATATGTTCATTGTTTAGCTAGGCTACATAGGTTCCTTTTTGACTTCTTCTGGGCTCTTCTATTATTTAGGATTTGTTTGTTGGGGAGAGAATCAGGATCTCAGGATCATGTAAGCAAGGTAATATAAAATAATCCATGCTTAGCCTCTGAAACACTTGAATAGTTGATAATGATTCGTGTGGTTTTTTTTAAGATTTTATTTATTTATTTGACAGAGATCACAAATAGGCAGAGAAGCAGGCAGAGAGAGAGGAGGAAGCAGGCTCCCTGCCGAGCAGAGCGCTCAATGTGGGGCTCGATCCCAGGACCCTGGGATCATGACCTGAGCCGAAGGCAGAGGCTTTAACCCACTGAACCACCCAGGTGCCCAATAATGATTCGTTTTTACTAGTATTTTTAATATGTGATGTTGACCCTGGGAAATGAGTCACTGCCTGTTTTCATGGTTCTTAATGGGCTTTTTAGGTCTCCTACATATTACCAACCTATGATTTAGTACAGAATAAGGTTCATACTGAGTTTAGATGGCATATAAGAACACAAGTAGGTGAATAGGGATGTAAAATGGGACAGTACCTAGATCATAAGGGATTTCCTCAGGGGGAAAAAAGGAATGCATTAAGAGGAAATTGAATCCAGGGGAAAAGAGTCCTAAAAGATAATCTTAACTATCTCTGTTTCTGGGAAGAAGAACACATAGAAGCATCCCCTGTGGATAGGACCCAGGTCTTTCCTGATTGGGTTTCTCTTTTTAGCCACCTACACCCTGAGTAAGCCTGGCCTGTTAGGGACCCAGAACTGTTCCCACCTCAGGAACCTTAAACTTCTTCGTTTCACTGCTGACTCAGTCTTCTAATCTTTAGCTTTTCTAAACCCTGCCTCCGGCCCCATTTGCTCTTGTCGGTGTTGACCAGTCAGTCTTCAGTCCCTCATTCCCCCATGTCTGCGCCCCATCCTCTCTGGCTTTCCAGAGGGGTGTCACTTCAGCCACGAGCCGCCCAGCGCTCTTGGTTCAGGTGCCCTGGTGCTTCCTGGAAGGACAGGTGCCCCATTCACACTGTCCCCATGGGGCTGCGGCAAGTCGCATGTAAGCCTCAGGCCACCATTACCACTGCCCATTCAGCATTCCAGTCCACCTGCCAGTGTCGCCTCAGTCCCTCCACACAGCCCCTCCACAGTCCCTCTGTACTCCCCAGGACTTCTCCAGACCTTCACTGCTCTCCTCGAGCCCCTGCCCCCTCCCCCAGCTCCTCCTTCAAGGAAGAATAGAGGTGATCAGATAGAAGCTTCAGAAATGTTCTTCTTCGGAGCGCCTGAGTGGCTCAGTTGGCTAAACATCTGACTCTAGATTTGGTCGTGATTTGGGATCAAGCCCCAGCTCCTCGATCAGTGCTTGAGATTCTCTCTGTGTCCCGTTCTGCCCCACCCCACCCATGCCCCTGGGCACTCTTGCGCACTCTCTCTCTCTCTCAAATAAATAAATCTTTTTAAAAAAACATTTTTTTTTTCTTGCCTGCCCTGTATTCCTCCCCTCTACCTACCTTCCTCTACCCCTTCCTCATCTCTGGCCCTCCTGCCTCACTGAGGAGTCTCCTGTCCTCTGGCCTGGGGCCGATTCTCCTGGGGTCTCCACATCAAAAACTGTTCCCTTTGTCTCCCCTTGACTGACTTATTCTTCTCAGTGTATTAACATGCTTAAATGTTTTGGCTTTCTCTTCAACCAACAGAACCCTCTCAATCCTGTATCCTGTTGAGGCAGTTTTTGCCTTACTCTCTTTAACAGCTGTGCTGCTTTTTTCTTTCTTTTCTTTTTTTTTTTAATTATGGTAAAATGTACATAATCGAAAACTCACCATTTTCATCATTTTTAAGCTTGCACCTCAGCGGCATTAAGGACATTCATACAACATCTATACAACATTTTCTGTATTATAAAACTGCAGCTCTGACCCCGTTAAACACTGACTCCCATGCCCCCACCCCCAGCCCCTGGCAGCCACCATTCTACCTTCTGTCTCTACGGATTTGCCTGCTCTGGGTGCCTCACATCCTGCATTGTTTTGTGACTGGCTTCTTTCACTTGGCATGATGTCTTCATGTTGTGGCAAACAACAAGGCTTCTTCAAAGAATATCATTTTCCGGCTGCTTCAAATTCTTCACCTCTCATTTGCCTTCCACCCACCTGCAGTTTGGCTTGTCTCTCGCTCCTCTGACACTGCTGTCCCCAAGGTGGCTGGTGACCTGCTGGTTGCTGTATCCAGTGGACATGTTTTAAACCATATCATACTTAACCTTCCGCAGTGTTATGCATCGTGGCCCTTCTTGCTTGTAACAGCCCTCCCTTTGGCTTCCATGACACAGTCTCTCCCAGTTTTCTTCTCCTTCTCTGACTGTTCTTTCTTATCTCCTTAGTGGTCTTTTTTGGTGGGTTCTGCCCTGGACCCTGGTCTCTTTACACGCATTGCTCTCCCTAGTTGATCGCAGCCACTGTTCCCTATTGTAGAAATAAAAGGTACAGTTATTTCCTCAAATTCTTCACAGCCCAGTGAGAGACAAGAACCAAAGAGTGACAGGACGGCAGAGGCAGGGGGAAGCCGGTACAGGGCACTTCGAGGAACACAGAATGAGCACTTAGCTCAGACAGGTTTGGGAGTCTGTCAGGAAGGCCTTCTCAGCAGAGGTGTTGCTTAACCTCAGATATTTGGGAAGGAATGAGCGTTGAGTTCATGAAAAAGAAGTGAGGCGAGCACTCCAGGTGGAAAAAAACAGTGTCGTCCAAGACATGGAGATCTGCAAGAGTGTGCTCTCCTGGGAACTTTAGTAACTCCTTTTGGCTGGCATACTGAGTCTGAGGTGGCGGGCAGCCAGAAAGGAAGCGAGAGTCCATTTGGATCACTGAGGCAGTAGCCTGACGTCAATGCAAAACTGTAAAAGAGTTTTAAGCAAAGACGTTAACCTGGTCAGAATTTAAAAGATTGTTCTGGCAGCAGAATAGAGAACATAACTGGAAAGCTAGTAGAAAACTGCCCCTCCGAGTGTGGCAGGAGGAATGGGAAAGCCAGCAGTGGATGGGCCCAAGGTGAAATTTTGGTGCTAAGTTCGGCATGCCGGTGACCAGACTAGGTAGTTCCCAGACTTGGTTTAGGCAGAGGCGGCTTCCAGCCTGGCTCCTTGGTAGCAGCCATTCACTGTATGGCTGAGAGTGGTGCTCTGAGCTCCCTGTTGCTGCCTCTAGGCCAGAAAAGGGGTGTAGCTGCTTCTTACTGCTGCGTGGGGAGCCAGAAGTGGCCCAAGGGTTTCCTGTCTTCTGGGTTAGTCCGAATAATAAAATGTCAGCTTGGCATTATGCCTTACCTTTCTCAGAGTTTAAAGCATTCTTTTATGACTTTATCATGAAGTATCTTTGAGGAAGACCAGATGTGGCCCAGGAACGTTGCTAATTAACAGGAAGGCAAATGTAGCAGGTCACATAGTCAGCTTACTACTGTTATCCATAGACAGTGGTATGCACCCACCGTCAGTCTGGCTACAGCACAGCTTGTTCATCTGTAGCCAGAGCAGGGATGTCTAAGAGATTCCTTGATGATGCAGACATATTGTTGAGCTCCTCCTCTCCATTCAGCCCATCCTGGGCCCTGAGAGGTCCCAAACTCTGGGAAAAGGGGTTTTGAAGGATTAATCTCATTCCCTTAACCCCCAACATAAAGACTTTAGGATGAACCCAGATCCATTAAAGAATGATATTGGGGGTCTTATCAGTCCAGATCCAAACTCAGAAGCACACAGTCTGGTATGTATACAGAGTCCTAACCATTCACCCATCACTCTGTTACAGTACAGAAGGTCATATAAAAATGTGGGTTAGAGATGGCAATGGCCTAATACCACAGGCCAACATAGCATTTACTAATCCATGGGGACCTAGGAAACTAGTTTTATGTTCCTTTGCTCCCTCTGCTGGTTTTATTCCTGTAACTAAATGCTAGGTATCATAGTTCTTTGCTATTTCTGCAGAAATCAGAAAATACTTCTACCAAAAAGTCCTACTGACTTGAACAAAGGCAGGGGGGAAAATCAGATTTTAACCGTTGGAAATCCATAGTATCAGTAAAGTAACTTTTTTTCTTTTATGTCTAAGGGTTATTTTGATTAGTATGAACATGCTAGAAACAGAAGGGCTTGAACAGAACTTGCCAAAGCACACTATTTAACAAAAAAAACACAGACTTGTTCATTAACTATTAGGGAAATCATTGAAAGTTACAGTATAACTATAACAAAAATAACTAAAACAAGGAGAGGCATAGTTCAGTGCCAATACGCAAGTTCAAATCATTACGCTGTGATCATTAAACCAGTTAAACACAGGTAGTTCCTCAAAAGATTATGAGTGCAGCAAGTACTGTGATGCCCCAGTGCCCTCAGAGGCTGCTTCGGAAGCAAAGAAGAAGAGGGCTTCCCTCTCCAGGGCGCTAATGGGAGACTTCCAGGGAAGTGGTGTTTGAACGAAACCTTAAGGAGAAAGAGGAGTTACCCAGGGGATGAGATCATTCTAGGCCCCAGG